CCTGCAGAAGACCTGTCCCCAGGTGGCCTCGTGGGATAAGGATGGGGAGCACCGCCCTCAAGGGACCCACCTTCCCCCTCTAGCTCCCCTGGGCACTCTTCACTGAGGGTCCCCCGGAACAAGCACCGCCAATCCTGGGGCTCCTTTCTCTTGTGCCAGGGGGGTCCCAAGAGGACTGTGGGCTCCAGCCAGCTGGGCGCTTCCCCTCACAGAGGCTTCTCTGTCCCCACTGCTGCTAGCTCCTCCTCTGGCCCCTGGGGATAGCCTGGCCTTTCCTGCCCGCTGCAGGACAAAGCCACTTTTCCTGTGTCCCCAGATCCCCGTCTGATGACCAGTTCCTTCTGCCCCCGAGGTCCTCTGGTCTGGCCCCTTTCTCTGGCTGGACACCTCCTCCAGATGCTCGCCTGGCTCTATGGCCTCCTCAAGCAGGCCAGGCAGCCCTGTGTCCTCCCCTTAACTGCCCCTGATTCATTTCTAGCCAGGATCTAGTCACTGTCTGGTTAGTCTGGGAAGGGCCAGGGCTTAGCCTGCAGTCCAGCACTGGGAGACTCCCAACAGGACCGACTGATGCAACCCTCCTGAAGCCAGGGAGGTGCCCAAGACACTGTCTGCCTGGAACCCCTGCCTTCACCGTAGCCTGTCCTCCAGGCCTTGCCCTGCTCCTTACCCTCCCCTGACGTCTTTGCAGACAGCTCATGCTTCTGGCACCTTGCCACTGAATGTTGCGCATGTGTTACCTGCTGATTTAGAAGCAGACTGTCCACCTTCCAGGATAAAACAGTAAAGAGTTGCCAAATACCTCCTCCAGAGAGGCTTCTGTCACAAGGTATGGGATCCACCCTCTGGCTGACCTGCCGACCTGGGCCTCTGTGTCCTTGGGCCCCAAGGTACTGGTTTGCGTCTCAGGCTGTAAGGGCAGCTGCACCGGCCAGGGAGTGTCCTGGGCCCACTTCTCCCCTGGGGTTATCCCTCAAAGTGAGAGCTCTTTTGGTATGGAACTTGGAGGGCACATGGAAAGCTGTAAGCCTGGAGTCACCCCAGGGAGCCCTGCCCAGCTCTGCCTTCCTCTTTAGTGGCAGGACCAGCCAAAGTTCCAGGACAGCATTCAAGCCTTTTGTCCTGTAGTTCATCTCCCCCTCCCTCTCTGCTTCCAGCACCCACCCCAGGCCCCTATCCTCAGGGTCCCAGGATTCCCTCACCTTTGGGCCTTTGCTCATGGTGGCTTTCCTACTAGGAAGACCCTTCCTGTTTGTTCCTGGCTGATCCCTGTGCTCTTTGGGAGCAGGGCCTGGCCCACAGTGGTGCTCA